ATTAAGAAGTCAATAGGACAAACCAAAGAAAAATGAAACTCGAAACTGACAGGTTGAGTCAGAACAGTATACAGAAAGGAAATTTTGGGAGTTCTTGAAATGTACTTCAGGAATACATTTTATTACATTAATACAGTATTCTTTAAAACTCCTTTTCCGAAATATTTTCGAAAAAATACTTATTGTAAAGTAAATTAATTATAAGCGCAAATTCTAAGAATGTATCTCAAATTTTCTCCATAGGTGAAGGGCAATATTTGAATTCACGCGCGTTCTTGCCATCCTAATAGCGAATTTCTCGGGGTTCAATTTGGGAGTACGTTTCGCTGCCGGCCGCTACGGGGTGGTGGGCATAGAGGAGAGATACAATCTCTCTCTATAGAGTAGAGATACAATCTCTCTCTCTCTCTCTCTCTCTCAGAGATACAATGTATCTCTACTCTATGGTGGTGGGGCCCTGGTTTACGCATAGAGAGATATTATCTCTACTCTATAGGTTTACGCCGGGCGAGCTCGCGCTCCAAACGTTCGTTCGGTCGGCCATCTTGTTCGCTCGCAGCGGCAGCCCCTGGGCAGCCCTTCAAGTGAGGTTATTATGTATCTGTAGCGTCTTTGCAGTGCGAACAGGCGGTTGAATTTACTTTTCAAAGTAAAAAGAATAGAAGATGAGTGATGAACTTTGGGGCTAATTCTTTTTGCGTGCTTTCATTAAAAAATGCTTCCTGAACAATAAATCGGATTCTGAGAATTGTTTCATGAATAGAAAAATGTAAAAATCCTTACTTTTATTGAATATAATTATTTGAAATTGTGGGTTTTTATAGGATTCTTAGAAGAATGGAAAGAACTGCAGATGTCTTGTATGTCCCATTTTGCACTTTAGGTTTGCGAAAAGGACGTAATTTCTAATAAAAAAAACAATGTAAATTAATATTTAACGAAACGATGCTAATTGCAAACACATAATTACCAACTCATTTTATGCGAATACTTCCCATAAAAATAATTTGACATGTATATTTTCTGAATATTTTTCAGGAAAGCCTCAATTTTCCTAGCCTCCTGTTTGCCCTACATAGTTCTATTTGCCCCTACACTTGCGCGTGAACGGATCGTACGTGTCCGCCCGCGTGAACGAATCGTGCCACAAACTGCATTTCATCTCAATGGCATTTATACCGAATTAGCGGAACCAGACAGACGTTGTTCTGCCTTTCATCTCTCCTCGTTGCTTCCTTTCTCTTCGTCTCCCTCTGCCCCCATTCCCTCCAGCAAAAATGTAATAGAATGTTAAAAAACACATCCTAAATATTACGGTGAGAAACGTTTTTTTAGGCCATTGGCAGCAACGTTTTAGTTTTTAATGTCCTAGAACGCCAATAGAAAATTTCAATAAAAGTACAAAAATTACGTATTTAAATGGCGTGTCAGCGAGACACTGCTGTATGGGTTGCAGTTGGGTTGATTCTCTTCAGTGAAGTACCTTGTGATATACAATATTTTTCGCTTTGTTATCAGGCGCAAGAACAAATAAAGCGGATGGTTTGCAGACTCGTGGTCATACCACTACAATTGACCATGAGAAAAACATGCTTTTTCTAGATTCAGATCACAAAACCTCAAGGATTTGTCTAGAGAGTTGTTAATCGTTATGGCTAAAGCAAGACGAATCGGAAATTGAATTCGTTTAAACTCAAAGGGTATCGGTATGAGAACTTTCTTGAATTTTCCTTTGAGTATTGAGGCGTGAATCACATTAATCATGAGTTTTCTTATCACCAAATGTGTTTCACTGCATAGTTTTGGTTGGTTTAGATTTCTAAGCATGATTAGTACCGAGCCACCCTTTAATTGTAAATTGTGCGGAGGTAAGCCAGGCACATCCAATGAGTTCAAAAATTCAGTTGGATAGTTTGTGGCTTCGTCTTCGTTTGTTACACAGTCAATAAATTAGAATGAATGCAAATTACCAATGATTTGATCCTGAATTACGAAGTTTAAGTCATCCACATCTTTGTCCTTTGCTGCCAAAATTCCTCGCTCACTCATTCATTTGTTATTTTTATGGTGATCAATGATGTTCGCGAATACTTTGTTGATGAGTTTTGATGAGACGAAATTGCGAAAATTCGAAGGTAATGAAATCAATCAGCTCGATTCGTCTACATGAACACGGCCATTACCGATATTCAGCAATGCTAGGGAAATCTTCAACAGATGGTTCGTTCAGCAATGCCACTCTCATGTTTGCTGCCAGGAGTTTACATAGCACCACAGATTTGATGATTTGAGGCTAGTGTCTATTTCATCGGTAGCTGACGATCTTGAAATGACTGGTAGTGTTAGGCGAAACGTGCCAGACAGTAAAATCATTGCGCCTCCAAAACATGTCAGTGCGCAAATTTTTCAATATTCGCAAGTGCTTCTAATGCGCGTTTGCGCGTTATTGTGCAGTCTCAGATGATTTTTGATGCTATTACTTGCGCAACTTTTCTTGAACGATGGATGGAAGAAATGCGGTATAGTGGGGGTATTGGTTACAAAATCGGCCACTAGATTTTAAGAAGCAATGCAGTACAAATGATTTAGGTGGCATTGAGCAATGCCAATATCTGGAGAATCGGTCATGCAACATTTCTCAATAATTTGCGTTCTAACTTTCTAAGGAGTTTGAAGTATCTCCTGTGATGGATATTCACATGCTTCGGTCATTTCTTTAGATATTTTTGAGACAATCACGGACTGTAGTTCTCGCCTTCAATAGAACATAGTTTCTAATTTTGCGCCATTGAAGATTTGTTTGAAACGGTGTCATCAGTGCTCGCCGCAAAAATTTGCATGCATTCATTGTGCGGGGGAAGCAAGGTCATCGTTCAAGTAAAGTTGCGCTATTAATACTAAAACTTCGGCCATTACGGAGTGTTTCGAATGTTACATGTCGGTTGTTCAGTAGTTTGAAGGTATAACACCAATTTTAACGCTGAATGAGCTGTACGGCATCTTTCTAACAATGTGGCCGTTATTCCAGAAGAAGCAACTGCTACCAATGTCGGATCTCGCACGGACAGTGGTCAAAATTAATAACATAAGGAATGTCTTCCCAGTTCCACCGGGAGCATCGCCTTCATTAATGTATCATACTCTTCCTTCTGTTGGGAGTTCAACAGAGCAACAATTTTTCGAACTAATTGATCTAATTCATGTCGATCATATTCACGTTCACTTTACAATTCTCGATTAAATACGTCATTCATTCCACGATCTGGCGCTGAATTCCTAACCTAAAAAATTGCCACACATGAGGTAATAACAAGTCTTCGATCAAGATCAAAAGCCTGTTTATGCATCTTATCATTCGCCTCAAGATAGTGATTCCTTGAATTGACACGAATTTGATGTAAAATGCTTTCTGAGATATCCTTGTATTTGTTCCACTAGTCACGTAGATTCGATGGGAAGCATGTCAAAATAATGATAGCAAATAATGTGCGTATCTGACTTGGAGATGAAATAATTGCTTCAGCAGTTGTCGTGTCCCAATGAGTATAGTTTTCAAGTAAATTGAGCTTTGTACATCCAGCACGAAATGTTGGATACACTACCATTAACAGTTCGTAGTGATTTAAATGATATTGGTCCACCAATATTTACCAGCAACAACCGTAAATAGAGGCATTCGTAATTCTTCGAATGAACTGTGTAAATACGACCAAAAGCATCAGTGTAACGCACACCCAGATGACCAGGAATCGCATCCCTTGCTTCCGAATGTGGAATTTCTTCGATTTTGCGTTGCAAGTGTAATAACATGGTACCTCCGAGTAAAGCAATGTTTGTGCAAACGTATGTATTTGGAAAGAAGTGGCGATCCAATCCAACTGTTGTCGACCACGAAGTGGTTTCCTTTCCCCGGGCCACATGGCAACGGCTAACAACAATGTAGCTCGTATGGATCGCAGTTTGAATGGAAATTGAATTAAAACCAGTAGAAAATGTAATAGAATGTTCAAGAAAATTATAGTTTTAATACCCTAGAACGCTTCGTTTAGGAGTTATAGTAAAAAATCTGCCATGTGTTGCGGATTGCGTATGACATGAATATTTTTTGGAGACATGAGATTTTCCTAAATTTTAAGTTATTCTGCTGTCCCTGGCGGAATGAATCCAACAAATAATAATTAAAATTGGCCTAGCCGTTCTCGAGTTATAAATGGTATACTAAATTTTATGACATCTATTGCAAGTACACCTAAAAGTCCAGATATAAAACTCATTTCCGGTTAGTTTTGAAATAAATGAACAAAAAGACAATGAAGAATGGTAACTTATAAAACAAACCCCATAACCTTGAAGAACTTTGTTCTCTCCATGAAGCTGTGAAAACCATAATTGTTTTACACAGAAATTCAGGAAGATACGAATAATTTTGGTATGAAGCACCCATAAAACGTTGATTCTGACCACACTATGAATTCTAGAAAGTAATTTGAGATCAACAAACCTTCACTTATCAGGTATCACATTTTTTTCTGCAGCTCTCTAAGAAGTCAATGCACAGCAGTAAAAATGGAGGTGTAAGGGGAAGTTCTTCAATTATTCTATTTCAAATAGAAGTGATTAAAATAATAATAATAATAATTTATAGGTAACTAATTAAGCAACTTCATGTGAAATTTCATTTTCTCCCTCAGTCTTCTCCACTATCTAACGTCCAAACATTCTGTAAAAATATAGCAACCAAATTTTCACACACTTCAGAAATAGCTGCCTAGTCCATTAATCAAATTTCAACAGGTACTCTAAAGAAATTCATCTACTTATATGAAGAGACCTAACAATTTGCCAACATCAGTTACACTGTTCGGGAATACATTTTATGCATTTCTGTTTTTCATTCTCAGCCTTGTATTGGAGAAGTATACAATAAGGGAAGAGAAGTACGATTCTTAAATTCTTGGGTGCGCACATTTTCAAAAACATCCAAGGAAAGAAAAAAAGCTTTCAACACAAAACAATTGGAATTTACTTCCTGAATTGGGTACAATAAAATTAAAAAAAAAAAAACATTTTTGGTAGAAATAAAGTAATTTACAAATTATTTTTCCATCATGTATTCTATTAGACAAACTATTCATGGTTATATACACTAGTTTAGCAAAAAAAATATCACATGCATTACAGCCTTACAAAAGTTATCACATAATTTAGTGGCCCTCACTGCATACTTCATTAGTACAAACTAAGTTTGCAGTATCTTCTTTACAAGATTATCAACATTCTTAAAAATCTCTAATTTCATCAACATGAATAATACCACAACACATCAAGCCCGTGGCAGGCAAATTTTTCAATATGTCCATTCATACTTTATTTCTGCATGTTAATGTTGTTCAATAAAACTTTCTAGCGAAACTGGAACAATACCTTTGTACAATAACTTATTTTTACGGATTACTTGGGCAGCTAAACATGACAATGAAGTATATTTAAGAGGATTTACAATCTCATGAATTGATTGACCCTTTAATAATTGTTGAAAGGTCTGGCCTGACGAGTTGATTGCATCAAGATGCGCACCTCTGTTGAGCAGTACGGTCACGAGAGCTGGAGGGCAGGGTCGTGCGTGAGCAGAAAGATGAAGAGGTGTATTGCCATTGTCATCCCTTGCATGAATATCTGCTCCGACAGCAAGCAAAAGCTCTGCTAGCTGTGAAGATGGGAACTGGCAAGCAGGGTATCGCCCTACTAAAACTGCATCACGTGAACATGCCAAATGCAGAGCTGTGCATCCTAAGCGTCCTCGCACATTTTGTTTGACCAGAGTATACACAGCTTTATGCACTTCATGACTTTCTTCAGGAGTTAAATCTGGAAGGAGCTTAGTAAGCAGACATGCCAGGTGAAGAGAAATTACAAGTACTCTGTGTAGATATGTGGTGTCACGTTCTCCAACAGGAATGATGTCCAACATTTCAACACCAGCTTCCACTTCTCTAATAGCTTTATGCAGAACTGTCAGTAGATCTGGGAAACTGACTGGGGGGACACGGCGACCTCTTGATGAAGTTCTGCCTTGCTCACCCATCATAAATGAGAAAAGCTCTGTGAAAGAATGCAATGAGCTCTGAGTCATCGGATTAAGTGGTTCCAACATTCTTTGTTGCATATCCAAAGCATAATTCCACAGAGAGACACATCTCCCAAATTTCCCTGCATCAGCATACACAGCACCCCTGTAGCGAATGTAATAGCTAGTGTCAGGATGAGCAGGGCCAAGAATTCTTTCTCTGATAACCAAGGCCTGCATTCTCATTTCATCTGGATCAGCCAACAGATCTTCTAAGCCTTCAGGGGTGCTGATTTCACGAGCATGATCATATGCTGCAACTGTGTCATACTGCTTTGGTTTCTTCAAAATACGGTCACCTGAGTTGTATCTGCCAAAAGAAAAGATAATAATAAACACACTAGTAGAGAAAGAGAAATTACAATGGTATTACACTTATTTCATTAGTAACTGGGTGCCTAAAATCACCCTAAAAGCTTGAAAACCATCATAGAAAGCAAGTAAAACTCACAAAATCAAATTTAGTTTATTTAGGAGTTTTCTTCAAATTTTTTTCCAAACATTCCTTGTTTATCAAAAGAGAGAAATCAATAAAATTAATTAAAAGACAACATAATGTACAACACAAACTACCGTATTTACCTGAATATAAGAAGTTTTTCCAAAATATCCCAGTTGAAAAATGTGGGGTCGTCGTGCATTGATAGATTAAGCCTAGTAGGTTGGGATTTAAGGTTTTTCATTGCCATTCCATGTCATGGAACTCTTAAAAGTTGACGTAACAATAAAGTGGGTAAAAATATGGATGGTAAAAATATTGCGCATAGCAATATGTAATTATATTTGCATTCGTTTTCTTGGCATCCAACGTGAATTTGATGGGCAATTCAGACCAATATTTTTGAATTGCCTGGTAAAGAGAATCTAACTGAATGGCTTTATATCAAATGAAACATAATGTGGAAATGAATGCTGAGTGTGTTACACGATGCACATTCCAAGGCCGCGTGGAAATCTCAAGTTCGACGTTCGGCGAATACGAATCAGTGTTTTGAACGGACAAGAGGCCTTAACAGGTGTGGAATGTATCTGGCGACAGATGGGAATGTTCTTAGATGGCGTGATGATTAAAGACTACGAACAACGCAAAATTTAGTCTGCAAAACTTTCAAGAGGGACCTAAAATGTCATAGCATGGAGGGAGGACCACAAAAGAAAAACATTGATACAGCAGTAAGCAGAGTTCAGATTAGACTACAAAATATATAGTTACATTTGAACAATACAAAGTTACCTCAATATCTCGTAAAGTGATGAAATTGAAATGAATACATATATCAATTCGTACCATTCCCTCGTGAACATCAGTGAAAACTGCTGTGCCTATGCCTGCATTGCATTCAACTATTCAAAAACTGTAGGTGCTTAAGGTACGTGATTCACCCTGTATATTTTTATACAAATTGAGTAATAACGTGTATGATATGCGAAATATTTTTATCCTCTTTGGAGCTTATTGTAATGTCATTAGAAGTTTCCCGACATAGAAAGGGAATTTAAAAACAAATGTTAACCTGCAAATATAAGACAATAGTGTTTTTTGAATGAGATTTTTGAAAACAAAACGAGTCTTATATTCTGGTAAATAAGATATCAATAATAACCTTTTATATATTATTTAAACCAAAATAATTTAAATTATAAATAGGGCCCATTAATAGGGAGGAATTTCTTTCAAGCAGTAATAGACTCATTTAGACACTCCATGAAAAAAAAAAAAAAAAATTACACACTTATAATTAACAGACTTCATTTTAGAAATGCAATAAAAAATTACCAACAAAGAGGGGTGGAGAGAGTTTATACAAGTATAGCAAATAAAATGCTACAATGATGAAGTAGTAAACAACAAAATTTATTTTAATTTTAATATAATATTACCATGCATGTATTGTCTCTGCCTAGCAGACAAACATTATAAGCCTTAAAATGAAATGAAGATCAACATTTTGAACAAATTCTCTGACCTAAATTATGAATTTTTCAATTTGTTTTCAACAAGCAACTGACTTTTTTTTCTCTTATACTTATTACAATTCTTAAGTAAACATCTAAATAACCAACCTATCTTCCATTGCCCTTTTCCACAATTCAAGTGCTCCAATCATATCACGCTTTTTGTCAACATATGTTGCGCCAAGAAGCTCTAGAGCATCAATTCTTTCAACTCTCGTAACCAAATTGGGTAGTTTGATTAGGTAGTCAACTATATGTGTATGTCCTGTTACACTAGCAGCTAAAAGTGGAGTCATACCTACAAAGAAATGGAAAATTTTATTACAAATATATGCTCACTCATACAAATACAGTGTAAGAAAATTTAAATATTTAAAAATTGAAACAAACCATATGAATCCACATCCATATCTGCTCCATGCTCAATCAAAAGTTTCAGAATTTCTAAGCTTCCTGATTCAGCACAGTCATGTAGGGCTGTGTTTCCTTTCACACTTTTGCGGTTAACATTCGCATCTAAATTTAAAAGAAATTTGGCAATCCGATAGTGTCCTTTATAACAAGCTATCATGAGACACGTGTGTCCATGTCGATTAGCCACCTCAATATCTGAAACAAAACGGGTAGAGGATTAAAATTATTGACTAAAAGAGCTAAACATCTCATTTTCTCTTATATTTATAACCTAAAAGTTTCATGTTATCATATCCGGTTAACGAAACAGGAGAATTAGACAAGGGAAAGAGGGAGAGATGGGAGGGAGGGGGCAAGAGAGGGAAGAGAGAGGGGTATGCTCTACTACACATTACAAGTTGGGGGCAAATAAGTCCTTCCCTTGCATTTCGTGATTTATCTTAAACAACCTTGAAGCTGTGCACAACATATGTTCATGCCAAAGTAGTTTTCATGAAAAACATCTCAAACTGACGATCACCTTACTTGTGCCAGCATTTTTCCCACTCCTGATAAAAAACATCTAAAATCTAAAAAGGGTATGAACATGGTATAAAAAACCTGAATACTGGTGGAGGTGGGAAAAATCTACATAAACTTTTTGATGTAATAGATTTTCACTTTTTGTTCTTGTCTTATAATACTGTAATTAGACAAGAAAAATAATTCATCTTCACTCAAGCATGAACATCTCAAAATTATAAAAATAGGTTAACTTATTGTTATTGGTTGACTATCATTTTCAGAACATCTGTTTTGCTAAATACAAATTTAATCTTTAAAAATAACAAACACTATGACCAATGTAAACAGCAAAATCCACCGAAGATGGAATTGATCGAGACGCAAAAGATTTCCGGTTTAGGGTGATTTCTGTTTTATGCCAGGTTGGTTATTTTAGGACACTTGTTATATTGATATTTTTACCCAGAAAACTGAAGTACATGACACAATTGTAATTATAAAAAGATATTAACATAAGGTATTTATAGAAGAAATCACCCATAAATTAATATTAAACATATTTCTGACAACTGAGAGAAAAATATTCACAAGTTGTGCACTAAAATAATATTTTTCCCCCCAATTTAATCCATTTTTATTTAGATTCTTTTGTTTTTTTGGTCACCCACCTTCTCTATTATGATTTCTGAAGTTGAAAAATTGTAATATTGGGAGTTTTATGTTTTTTCCAACCATTGTTAAACTATAAACTGGCTGTGAAACTCATAAAAATACACCACCTAGACCTCTCTAGAGGCTGCAGCTGGACTGCTCGCCGTCTCTTTCAATGCATCACAGACCACAGTCCTGTCTTTCTGATAACTTCGCATGGCCTTGACCAAGGACCTAAATTTGGTTGAGTAAAAAGCTAAAACTTCTTTCTAAATGAAAACCTTGTGTGCTCTAAATATACAGATGAATTGGCAACAAAAATGTTTTAGAATGAATTAAGTGTGGTAAAAAGAAACGGTCAAAGAGAAAAATTTTGCTATCAATTTATACAGAATTTTAAAAGATATATTTGTATTATATTATTACACAACAGATGATTTGAGATTAAAAATTCGTATTCAATTACACATCATATTTCAAGCGTGGAACACATTTCAATTTTTTAAATGTATCTCTCTGAAAATTGTTTAAAGTTCATAGAACATCTTCAAATAATATTATCCCTGAGTTTGCACATTTCTTTGCCATCTTTACACTGACATGGCTGCAATTATAAAATGTGTTACCTGCTCCATGTTCTACAAGGAATTTGACAATTTCATAATGTCCATCAAAACAGGCTGCTCTGAGAGGGGTCGAGTTCGTTCTAGTGGTGCTGTTAACATTTGCTCCATGCCGCACCAACAGCCGCACCACTGAGATGTACCCCGCCGCAGCGGCGCACCATAAAGGTGGAGCTCCCTCTATGGTCTCACCATCGAACACCACTGTAATATTTACCAACAGAATGTAAACCTTACTCAAACAGGCATGGAAAAATGAGAAAACAATGTTACAAAATAAAAAATAAAATACACAACAGTCAAATATTCTATGTGTAAATACAATTATCTTCAAAAAAAAAAATCAGTCACATCCAAAATGGTGTAATTAAAAGTCTTTTTAAACAAATGTTTACCAAATACTTTTATTCACCGCCAAAGTGAAATCAATAAGAAATTCAACAAGGGGTAATTTAAAGTTTTAGAGTGATAGTTATTGTAAGTTTTGGTTAAAAATAGGAACATAAGTCATCTGAATGGAAATAAATGAATTACAAATGTTTTAGGACTGTAGATGTTACATTGTCGATGACAAAATCCTACACCATTTGTCACATGTTCATTCTACATGGTAATTTATCATGGTTGTAGAATTTAATCATTTTGGTGATTTGGACAGTCCATCCAAATTGAGAGATGAAATTCCATTCCATGAACCAAAGTAGATTAATGGCAGAAAGGGAGCCACTTAATTTTAATTATACCTTTCTTTGAACAATGGTAAAACGTTGATTATTGCCTTATTTTGAAATTGATCCAACATTAAAAACGCCAGGATTTTTTACAATAAGCTGTTATTTAACATTACATATTTTGTAGTATTTTGATTTGTATGTCATAGTTCAATTACCGGTAGGATTCAAATTGCATTTCTTGGGCAGGACTAAGCTAAATGCAAAAACTGTGTCTCAATTGTGGAAGACATGGGTACAATTTTAGCACTAGTGGTTTTTCAAGAAGTAAATGAAAAGCATCAGCAAATACTTTCATCAACAACTTAAAAAAAAATTTAAGAGAAGTTTTAGTGTGTAATAAAAATTCATTTTCCATCACAATTGCAACAACAAATTTATTACGACTCCTCATGGAAAATGAGTAGAACTGATTTTTCTTTATCTTCATATAAATTCAATAATAAAGTGAAAAATATGCTTCTGCAAGGTTAAAACTGATTCCAATAATTAATTTTTCTTTTATGATTTACTGATGTTCAAGAATGTAATATGACCATAATGTATTTTGTGTTTGTAAGTATTAACAATATTAAGAAATAATAATACATAACATACAATAAAAAATAAATTATAATTATTAAATTAATAATAGTTTAGTTTCCAATCAATTTCCCCCCAAAATTTATATTTGTTTATCAAGATAAGCACCATAAATGTAAGGAAGCTATTAAAAGTTCACACTTTGCTTAATATTATTGAAAACATGCTGCACACATTTACTGTGACAAAATAGAAATAAAATATACAATTTTAAAATTAAGTTTGTAATTATATTGTACATATGAAAATAAAAAAGGAATGCAAAATCATAACTAAGAAAAGTAAAGACTCTTATAAAAAAAATTTCATTTTAATTTTTCGCTTCATATTATCTATCACCAATATAAATTTTCAAGTATCAGTTGTATAAACATTGGAATTATTTTCAGTTCTCCTTCCTCATTATGTTAAAATCAATATTGTGAAAGCAGGAACAGTTTTATTAAAGGTACCTACAATTTTAGTTACCAAATCCTTCAATTTAATATCAGACTACTATTAACACAATAAAGCTTATAACATCATTATTACTTAAAGTATAGGTGAAACATGAAAATTGGAATTCCATAACTAATTCACGAATTTGAATTTCTTACCTGAACCTGGCTGCTCTATGTCTGCATTACAGCGCTCAATGAGGTACTCGGCAACATCATAATGGCCATTACGACACGCCATAACAAGCGGTGTAGCTCCATTTGTTTTTGCCCCTACCAACATGAGCACTTCTTCTTTACTTCTATGGTCCAGAAATACCTGAAACAAGTATATAACATATCAGGGTGTGAACTGAAGTGGAGGAGGGGGAGATAAGGACACAAAAGGATTGGCCCCTCTGAAGAGTTTGAAAAGTATTCATTTCTTCTTGTCAGGAATACAAACCTCATTTAGGAGCCTCAATTATGAACCACGAACTTTGAAATATTCAAATCAAGTGATTTAGATAAAAAGTCTGACATTGTTTAGAGCATTGTCAGAAAGAAAACATTGTTTAGAGCATTTCCTTGATTCATCCCATTCTGGAGTTTTAAGCACCCCACCCCCACACACAATTTTCTGCTTTTGTGTGCGGAGTGTCTTTGGAAGATTTTCCCCTGCCCTCATAACCCCCCTCCGCAGACCCACATCTTTGAAAAAAATTAATGCACCCTAAATTTGACAGTGATACTGAAAATAAAATATTAGTTACTAATTGTAACTTTAAGGGGCAAGCAAAACATTTACTCCAGATTTGAAAAGTAAAGAATTTAACCAGAAACCAAAGACGGCATTTTTTTCCATCACACAATTTTGCTTTACAATTTGAAGTACTTATGTTTTGTGAGTATTTAAATACATAAATCGCTCAGATATATTTACCAATTGATTAGAACTTTTATTGTGACAGTTATTTGGATATGCAATTTTTATTACAATGACAAGCTTAAAGATGTAGTAATGTTAAAAAAACAAAGCAATGCTTGTGGCAATACAATTACATTCAGGTCAGAATACAATACAATTACATTCCTCTATTAATGGAAATAATGCATAAAAATTATCAAAATGACAAGAGAATACAATTTTGTAACACTTTCCTCTAGTGAACAGTTTAATGAACTAATACTATAAAGGTTTAATTTCTTAGAAGGGTAAATGACAACCATGCTGTTTCAATGAATTAAATAATTGTTTCTTTTGAAAACCCTGCTGAAATTAATAAATATGAAACAAATTGCCTATGTTTATAAGAATACATTATATTATAATCTTCATGCTTATAATATTGAATTGAATTGAATGTGAAATTATATTTTAACACTATTGCAGCTTCTTTGTCAAAAATAGAATGCTAACAAGTCCATGTGATATTATGAACACACATGGTGGGAAAAGTAGATATTAAACACCGAGTTATTTAGAATACACTGCTTCTTCAATTGTATTGAAATTTTAATTATTTTCTTAAATTTTCAGAACTTGTACAGAGTAATAATGAATGCGGAAATTTGAAAAAAAAAACAACTAACAATTGGGAGTAACGAGACATTCAACTACTAAATAATATTTTATTTACCTTTTATTCAATTTGTTTCAGCTTTTAATCTCATAGAAACTGAACTTTAATATAAGCAATCTCCTTCAAGTATACGACGCACCCTTCTGCTATAAATAAAGCGGCGAACTAACATCTTTAAGCACCAGAACGCGACGGAAATCTTCCAAAACACCCACTCGTCACAGTCCGTTACGTCGCCCGACACGGGCGGGGGGAGCGTACGAACTACGACGCAATTCTCATTTTAATGCAATAAAACACAGGAAATGGTTCCGCAGCTCTGATCTTTGGAACGGCCATGTCCCTTTTGGGGAGGGTTCGTCAGTCCTTGTTCAACCAGATTGATTGATTAGCATTTCCGAGCGCGTCAACTGCTAAGGTCATTAGGGTACATCGAAGGGTATTGCAAGTTTTTTTTATCGCGAGGACGCGCCGATTATTTCCCTGGCTGGATGGTGAGATCCGGCGGCGACCTACACGTCGGCTTGCGGGATATTCCTAACCACGTATCTCCCACCAGCGAGGTATTGTCCCATCTGGGACAAGCTCTAAGGTCCCAAGATGTGCGATAGTGTAGTGCATGTAAGTGTGAGAAGGGGTGAGGATAGGACAAAGAAGAGGAAGGAAAGTTTGCGCGCAGTCTGGTCTCCGGCATTCACCTGGCGTTTAACGCAGAAATCACGGAAAACTATCTGATCACCCAGGCGCTAGAATTCTGCTCCAGACTGCGGCTGAATTCGAACCAGCTACGTATCCTAGAATCGAAACTCCTGTTTCGAATCGAAACTCGGGTTTCAAACCTAAGGACCTCCCGGTCAGAGGCACTGCAGTGTCAATGATGCCCTGAGCCACCTAAGCCGGTGATACTACACTTGACGCATCCTTCCGACTACCATCGTTTAAGAAATGTTTTGGCGTTGTGGAATCTCGAATTCCGAAGCAAAGAACTAGCGCAAGGTGCATGCTGATGTTTCGGCGGGCCCCTTGTTGTGGTCTAATCGTTCGGTGGATTAGGGTCGCATGGGGGACGAGGCGCAATTAAAGCCCTCCTTTTAAGCCCTGCGTCACCAGAAGGCAGCGAGCACGGGTTGGAGACCTGACTGCGACAGAGACGGTGCGGACAAAGGCCAACCGAACTCACGAGCAAGCGGCGAGCGAAGCGATCGCCTTGAAGGCTGGCTGCGGCCTGCCTTGACCTTCCGATTACTACTTCCTAGCGGCAATGGACAACCATACTCGGCACGCGCCACCGGCCTTTTACTTTCCATCCGCGTGGAGAGCCATCTGCGCAGCTTCTCTGCCCGGCAGAGTGACAACACAGCAGGGAGGTACCCCCTGGGCTTGGCTCGGCCGAGCAGACGGCAACTCCACTCCACCCCTGCCCCTCTTCATCGACCTTGAGAGGGCGCGATCAACCCCTTCCCGCTCCTTCACTTCCAAGGCGACGAGCCGTCGCTCGCCTCGACACGAGGAAGTGCCATTCCATTTCTCCACAAAAGGAAACCGCCGAATATGGCGAGTTCTAGGCCGAATCGCCTTGCAAACAAACACCCAATGCCTGTCGCCACGCGCGCGTGCGGGCAGGCGAGCGAGCGAGCGAGCGAGCGAGCGAGCAATCTAGCGCGGGGTTCAGGAGTTCGGCTTCCCTGCCGACATCGTCTGCCCGTCGCCCTCCCGCACAGCCGCCGCTGGCTTGCGCCAGGAAGCTCGATAAGTTGGGATGGAAAAAGAAAAGCCCACGTTGATATTCGCACGCGGCCGAGCCGCGCCGCGCCGTGCCGTGCCATCGCGCAGGCGCCCAGGCAGGAGGCGGCCGCGGTCGCCGCGGTAATAATAGTACAGGCCGGGAGACGGCCTCCGCACACCTACGGGGGGAGCGCCTCAAAAAGGGCATTCGTTTTTCGCGCGAGTTTGTCTCTACGCCAAGACCCCCTCCGTCGCGCGCCCGGTCTCGTCTCCGCATGTCACCGCTACCCCACACCGCGCTAATCATCATAACACGATATGCCACTCGCTATGTTCGTTTATCGCCTTTACTAGAGACGTCGGAGTAGGAATGTAGAATACAAAAGTGGAAACCGATCGAGGCTACATTCTGCACGCTAAAACGCGCGACGTGGCTGAAAGAAACGAGACCACGCAACTGTCATGTCAGGTACTATTTATAATTTAGCGCCCGCAATCTACGCAGAAAACGAAAATAACTAGTTTCCTAGTCTGTTCTGCCAAGGGCTTTCTCCTAGGAACTTCGAAGCTTCTAGAAACTGGTCGAACTCTCCTACAATTGCATTTCCATGCCGCAGTTGTATCGAACAAAATAGTTTTCGAAAATGCAATCTCGTATGCAGTGAAGAGGCAAATGTAATTAACCGTTTCGTAGCCGTCCGTCAGAAGAAGAAAACGTTGCATTGGCTTTATTATTTTTATGGCTCGCTAGTTTCATAGGGGAGACTGCATGGTAATACAAGGGAGGGCAAGAATTAAAATATGCTAAAATCTCTGGGAGTCGTGCCGCATAATACCACTCAAAAGAAACCCTTCGAATGCTAGTGGCTACGTCATTACTCAAACTTTCTGGGGGCTCCCTAGACTCGCAGTGGCACGGTTTCTCAAGAGACCCGATACCATCCCTTCTCAAATCGCTTCTCCCAGGGGTGATGCAAAATCTGCATTTTCCACAAAGACCTTGGGTTTCATTTACATCTTCCGCAATGCGCTATCCGATTCTCTCATTCTCATATGAAAATCTATCATGGGAACGTGGCGTCGCAGCCTCCTGTTGCAACAATCGCAAGACTGCGTGCGCTCGAACAAAAAAACGAAGTAAAGCGACCTTCGAGCAACGTGGCTGGCACCTTCACAGTCGCGGGGACTGAAGTCTACAATTTTTAGATTTCTCCTGAAAACGTTATCTTTGTTTGTAAGCAGCGCCTGGCACTTGACACTTCGACTACATTATCAATGTTCAAATTGAATTTTTCTATTCCTTCCCGGAACTCATGGTCAGAGTTTTGGAACAAAGGCCTCTAACAATGCACAAGGTGAAAATCACCTGACAAGCAGTGAAGTCCCATTAGCAACCTAATAGCTTCACGATGTTTTAACGAGGTGCCACCGGGTCAAAACACGTATTTGACAAAAGTACCGACAAGATATTATTACGGTACTATTTCTTACTTATCACGATACATATTATAGGACTATTCACTTCACAACTATTTTTCCATAAAGTACACATCACGGAACCTGATTCTCTTCTGTCTTGTTTTAAGGTTTTTAGGTTAATGTACAATAAAAACAAAGAATTTAAGAACAATTTCACAAATGTTATAAAAAATACCTTCACACGAATGACAATATTTAATACTTAATTTGTAAGCAATTATCCAATTCAATTCGCTTTGCATTAGCCTTAATACTTACGTATCTGAACTCACTAGTTAAGATTATTCAATCTGGCGTCGATGCTCCGACACAAGTAACAAAATGACAGTTGTCTTCTGCTATTAGTAAACGTTTCAAGTAGGCCAGTTCCCACACAGTTAATTACGCCATTATGTTTCTGTATTCTATTTACATATACAATGATTGAACACGACACACACTACGGAGAGATTACTAAATCCGTGACCAAGGGTACATTTAACACACTGACAGCAGCGTACACCATTTAATTTTAATAATAGCAAGGAACAACAAAAAAGTTTGTCGAAGCAACCGAACTGTATCCAAAAATATCTAGCACGGCTACTCTTTTCACTAAAAATTCTATTTCACTCCGCGAACAAACAACACTTTTACCACAAACACATCTATAAATATAGACGAAAACGCGACTACTGGTGTAGGAGCAATGGCCAGTGCAGGTAACAAGAAATACAACATACGTTATAATAGTTTAGAAGCTTACCCGCAAACGTCGCAGCTTGCCATCTCGTGCCGCATTATATATTACGTTTTTGAAGTCCATTTCTTCCATACTAAAGCAGCCCAAAGGTTCAGAAGGTGACGAATAAACAAAAGTTATCCGTCGCAGCTCTCTCTCCAGCAGCTGTGACGGACAAACTGGCGAGCTGAACAACACACAATATGGCCTATAATCAGTTCCAAGGTCGATCACAAGAGGTCTCTGGTATCCAGTCTCAGAACGCTGGTCAACACAGAGAACATAGAAAGCAGCTGACTCACTCGCATAAAAATTCGATAGTGTTTAACACAAGACTCGCAGATCAAAACCAATCTTAATTTTAAATTTTAGAAGGTTTTCTTGATTTATTTCCAGTCAACTTAAAACATACTAGTTTAAAATTGATAAAAAAGGAATGTTTAAAAGCGCATGTTTACATCTGAAATTACATGAAAACACTCGAATCATAGTAAGATGTATTTGGACTGCGTAGTGTTGGATACAATAAGGGTTATCATTAGCTGTAATGGAAGTTTGCTGGCTGAGTCCTTATGGTCTGTGGTCTGTACTCCACGCGGAGTAGAGGAGTAGCTGTCACTCTCCCCGTATTGGGCGGAGCATCTTAAATTCTAAATTATCATTGGTCGGAGAATATATGACGTTTCTCTTCGCTGTACCACGTGGGATATACGCCATTACCAGCGAAGTATCTCGCGCTAGCTGTGGTGGAACAATGGATTGTGCGCGTTAGATGTGCGAAAGCCCGATAATTTTTGTGAAATTTGAATTAAGATGCGCGAATGTAGCGCAGCATGTCATTCGTTTAAGTTTATGAAAAAGAGCTGTGACAGTTTTAGCGTAGACAAGTAGTGTTTGCGGTAACTACGAGAACAGGAGATTTCTGTGTTGTGGATGTATTTTTGCCGGATAGTGGAAAAATGTGGAGATGATGTTTTTGTGGTTCTGAGGTGCCGCTGAGTCGTGTGGAAAGCAGCCATGTATCCCGCGCCGGCGAGACATCCAGCCGCAGCGGTAAGTTTTACATAAAAATTACTTTTTAAAAATATTTTTAAATTTAAGCGCAAAGTAAATAACGCAAAGAGAAAATATTAAAACTGAAATGAATATAAGAAGCATACTACAACATTTTAGGTTGGTATTTAATCTGCATGTGGTAGCATTGTTGTGTTAAACGCGTGTGTGTAATGTTTTTATTCCATTTATTTATTTACTTTTTATGTTATGTATTTATTTATTTTTTTCGTTCGGCACACCTCGCGGTCGCCGGCGGGCTTTATTAACCGTTGCACGCGCCCTAATATCACCGGCGGCGTCCGGCTGGCGAGGGTGACGAGGCGCCCGCAGGCCAACCTCTTTGCGAATCGAGGCGTTCTTAGAAAGTAGGCGCGCGGCATGGCCGGCCTGTCAGCTGTTCGCGTCCGCGATCGGCTTCGATCCTCGAACCACCGCCAACTCCGCCGCCACCACCAACGCTAGCACAGCGAGCCTGCCCGCTGCCCCGTCCCTACCCGCCCCGAAGCGTCGCGTCACGTCGCGTCGCGTCGCTTCGCGCCCACCGCCTCCGCCGCGAGTGCACGCGTCCCGTCACGCTAGGTGACGCGCGAACGCCCCACAGTGGCCGCGGCAGTTGCTGCTTTCATTTACATGAAAAATCTAAATATCGCCTCGTGCGAATCGCCTGGCGGCGGCGGCGGGGGCGGGGGCTGCGCTGAGGGTACACATACGCCCACGGATCACGCTTCGTGTTCGTTACTCGATAGGACGTGTGCGCGGGGACAGGTAGGTATACGCACGCTTATAGCTGGCACGAATGTCGTGCGCGTCTCGCCCCCCTCCTCCTTTCCCACCGCGCTTCCCGCCCACGATGTCCCCTCCCCCCTGCGTGGCCATCACGGTCCCCCAGTTTCCCGCGCGTAAAACCCGCACGCTTCACCTAACCCGCCGTCGCATCTGCCGGCGAGACCAGTTTCTCTCTTATCGTATGCTACAGGGAGGGGAGGAGGAGGCGAGAAACGCCCGCGAGAGGCGGCATCCTAACAAAGCAGGCAGGAGGCGCGCTTCACGGCCCGCCGCCGTTCTCGCGCCAAAATAATAACACCGGCGGAAAAGGTAAAATAAAAATTCGAAAAGAAAAAAAGACGGCGAAACGGACTCATGGTGGAAGGAAGGAGTGCGAGAGGTAGGGAAACGGGAGAATAAAAAAAGGAAGCCCCGGTAAAAAAAAGTGACGGAAGCGATGAGAAGAATTAAGATAATTAATAATAATAATAATAATAATAATAATAATAATAATAATAATAATAATAATAATAATAACTATTATAATGTCCGCCTCATGAGCTGTGACCGCGCTGGCTGGTCCTGTGCCGCACAACATACGCGGCTGGCGGGTAGCGAGGACTGCAGGCGTCTCAGCGGAGAACAAACACTGACTGCTAGAGAACATAAACAACGTGTACGGCATATTTTCTTCGTTTGTGAAGAGACCACGTCCAACGCAGACGGGCAAACAGTGTACATTTTCCGACGACACTCGACGTTTCGTGTCAGTCTTTTGTATTGTGGAAGTTGCTAGTCCTACAATGACGCGAATCTTGAAACATCTTATATTCATAGTAATATCATAATAGTAAATTTGATGATAAACAATGCAGATGTCAGGGAGTCGACAAAGATGCTTTTTTTCTCTTTCCCATGTGCAGGTAGTTTAATGTGCTGTTGTGAAATGGTTTTAACTAATGATTCTAGTATTTCTGTACGTGCTTCTAGTTTCTCGTCCAATTGGACGAAATCCTCTCTTGTAAATTTGTTTAGAAACACTGAAGGTTTTCCGTTCTTCTTAAATACTACTAAAGCTTTGAGTGGTCGTGTTCGATAAGTTTAACTATTCAGATAATTATAGGATTGTTGGAAGTGTAATTTGGTGCAGTTTTAAACTCACGTCTTTCCATTTTTTCCATTCGTAAGGTAATGTTATGTTTTACCTTATTTGGACAGGTAAACCCAGTTATCTTCAGTTCTTCTTCTTCTTCTTCTACTTCTTCTTCAATTCTTATGTGTAATGACGCCTCTAATCTTCGCATTTTGTATAAATTCACTTGCGAGGAAATATTGATTTAATTTAATAGATGTTCGCATAACATGTCTATACGCTGGAAGTGACTATTACAAGCACTGGAATTTCCTAGATAATTTTTCAATACAATTTCTATACAATTGTGTATTAAATTGTGAGATTCATAGTGTGTCCCATATCCCACATAATTATAACAGCGAAAGATGACTTTTCATCAGGAAGTTTGTAATAGCCTGCCAAAGTTTACGATTCTGCAGCTGTACGACCATCAAATGCTGTATTTATGTCTGCGATATAATGTGTAATGAAGACGAACTGTTTTACACCTTCCTGCAACTGCTACACTCGAACACCATTTTTCGCGTTTCTGCATCTGACGTGATTTTCAAATTGCGTGTACGAAACGTCCTGTCCTGAAACAAATAGAACGCGCTGACGAGACAAATTCAGCGAAGGGAAATTCGCAAGCAACAGGTAGCATGAGAGAATGAGTAATTCGACCTACAGCTGAAACTTTCAAGAAATGTTCTACCAACACAAGATTGCATCAATAGACAAATTAAGGTCAAATAAGATCGCCTTAAAAGCACAGTTGTCTAGAACTTTTTTCGCCAGTATCATCTGGAAGTTAACTGGGCATATTTACCCTTCCGTCAGTTATCTGTATGTCTGGGTAGATGGAGGGGGTGATATCACGTATACTTGCAGTGCCTATCTTGTTTGAATGAGGAAATCGATGCTGCCCGATGATCCTGTCCATAAATTTATTTCGTAGATAGTATTACGAATATATCTCTACTATATCAAATATGGAAACATTTTTTCAAGAGCAAGAAGTGCTCTGAAAGTCAGGAAAACTTACTAAATAGGCTTTCATTCTTACGATTGACAGAACACTGCCACAAAGGTAAAAGTGTAAACCTTTAGCATAATTTAATACATTTCCTATACAAAACGTCAGTATTTATGAGTCTACTACATTTACTGTAACACCATGAACAGCGCGTAAAGCTTCATGGAAGTCGTCAGAAGAATGTGTTTGAATATAAGATTGCTAATTAGCGTCTTGTCTACGGAGATGATAACTTTCACACATGTACCTTTCTGCGCGATTTCAGTATTAAAACTACATGTAATATTGTTCAGTACGAAATGCCTATAAAATAATGAATTTTCCATGGATTAACTACGCTTTTGAAATAATTATTTATGAACATCTGATTTAGATACTCCAAATAACAGTTGTGTTCAGATAACGTGAAATTTAAGCTTCTTATAACGTTTTCTTACCACTTTCATTTGAAGGTAAAGACATTTGTATTCTAGTCTCCTAGCAAGTCGAGCTAGTCGAGATGGAGGTCATTGACCAGAAGCTAAAATACAATACTTGTTACAGGTTCTTTAGAATTATACAATCCAAATGGTAAATAATACACTAAATGTCGTTGTTAAAATTAATATTATTTTCCTTTTGGATGCTCAGTGTAGCCTCTAATTATATAGAAACAGTTGTGCAACAGAAAATATTTTACTTGGGACTTAAACTTTTGTATCAAATATAATCGTTTAATGTCCTCTGGCAAATGTAAAATAATGTTCATGTATTGTATGTGAAATGTTTTGTAGTGAGCAGTAGATACTGTCACATGATGGATATGATTACTACGTCGAGTGTTGTAGTTAAAGATATCAGCGTCTGCTGAAAATATATTCTGGCCTTAAGTAAGTCATTTTTAATAAAAAACACTCATTGATATATCAAGAGAAGGTAATGGTAAGATTCTTAGATTAATAAAGAGAGGCTTACAAATATCACGTGGGTGGGATTTGCTTATTATTCGTACATTTTTTTTTGTAATCTAAAAGTCGAGGAGCTATAAAATGTATTTCCCCAGACTATTATGTCATATCTCAAGCGCGAATGAACATTCGAAATATACACGACAAGCAGTGTGGAGGCTGACTGAATTTGAAAGAATTCTGAAAGCGTAGCATAAAGACCTTAATTAAGTGTTCAATTAACTTGTATGGATGTTCCATTTAAGGTTTGGCTGAATTGAAAGACCTAAAAATGTTATCTTAACATCAGTCCATGGCATACCGTTCACTTTCAATGGAATACAGAGCTGTTTATTTAAAATGGAAAACTGAGTTGAAACAGTCTTCTTTTCATTTACTATTAATTTGTTATTACGGAACCAATTTAAAATATCGGATATTGTACTATTTACGGCTTCTTTATTACAAAGAATATTCGTATCATCCGCAAAGAGAACTGTTCTTCAGTTTCTGATCGTCGAGAGCATATCATTTACATATAGTAAGAAGATAATCGGTCCTAGAATCCCTGCGGAACTCTTTATGTAATTGGCAAAGCAACGATTCATATAATCGGAAAGGTGTGTATATAATGTTCCGTTATTCCAGTAATGTATTTCTATTCTCTGAGATCGTTGTGTATGGTACGAACATAACTAATCTAGAGCAATACCACGAATTTCATACGAAGGTAATTTTGAAAGTAAAATGTTATTATCAAAGACGTCAAAAGTTGAATTAAAAAAAAGTCCAATGGGTGCTTCGTTTTGATCCACGGATGGGGCGACATCTTCAAGAAAATCAAAATCTACGGCTGTTTCCGTAGATTTAGATTTTCGAAACCCATGTTGGCAATCTGAAAACGCGTCGTGTTTAATAAGAAATGTTTCCAGTCGTACGTAAAAACAATCTTAGCTCTTTAAAAATTGGAGGGAAAATTCGTATACACAAGTGTAGATTAAATACTCGTATGTGAGTTAATGGGTGTATAATGGCCGGTGCACAAGGCTTTAACAATTAATTCGGAAATTCATCTAAACGGGCCGAATATTCATTTTTTAGTCTACCGATTATTTTGAAAACTTCATTAGAAGTAGTTTCGGAAACGAAGATCGTG